AAGGGGTATTTCAATAGTAATATACGCACAATTAAAAGTGTGAAATGTTTTGATATTCAACTGTCTAGATATAAAGACAAAAAGTTTTATAAATGACAAAATGAAAGGCTTGAAGTTTCACAATGATAATAATTGTGATATCATTATTGTTTTTTAACAAAGGGAAGAGGGAAGTTCCGTTTTCTGTTTTAAAGTACTAATAATATGATACATCTGAAAAATGCCGGTTTAAAATAGCAAACCTTTTATATCTTAATCAATGGAGAGTCAGTTTAGAAAAAATGATTTACGTATGAATTTTACCTATTTTTCAAATGAGGTTTTTTGAATAAAAGACACACGTTTCTAGCAAGGTATTGGATGTTTTACTGACTATAGACGATAAAGGCCAATTAAGAACTAAACTGTATGACAAACAAGATAATTTCAGCTTTTCCATCGTCAACTTTCCTTATTTATGTAGTAATATCCCACTATCACCTGCTTATGGTGTTTTGTCTCTCAACTTATTCGCTACTCAAGAGCTTGCTGCGAGTACGATAAATTTTTTAAGCGAGGCATGCTATTCACTGATAAGTTGATGTTATAGGGATTTCAATACCTTTATTTAATGTCGGCATTTCGAAAACGTTATGGTCATTATAATGACCTTGTTAGCAATATATATAACCTATCATTGGGTCGTATTTTGGCTGACTTGATTCACACCAATTGTTAGGCCTTTGTTTTTATACTGAATTGACTACGGAAAGTTACGTCTACCTGATCAATACATAGGGCTCACGGCGGGTGTGACCGGTCAATGGGGGATGCTTACTCCTCATCCCACCTCTGGAATATCTAGGGGTCCGTGTTTCATGCTCTCTTCACATATTTGTTTTGTTTATAGATTTTTGAGATCGATCACTGTTCGTTATCTTCACCTGTTACACATTTGCACTCAATTATACAGGAAACATCATTAGCATGGACCAGATTTTGAGCTGCAAGCTTGATGCACAATAAAACTGCTGATGTTCCCTAAAAAAACGATCATTTCTGTTTCTCACCGAATAAACTCTGCGTTTTTTCAAAACAAACACCCTTTAAGCATATACAAACTGTGAAAGTTTCATGCACCTTAAATGAATCAAAGAAATTTGCATTGACAAGTCCATCGGGTCTTTTCGATAACTGAGTAAATGAAAGATGTATTTAATGTAGTTTTAGACTGTACTTTACTGTCAAGCACTGTGAACCTGGTCTTGTACAGCTGAATAAATTACTTAATCACTTTGTATACATCATCAATGCAAAGCTATTCAGAGTTTCAAAATGATAAATAATGTGATTTAACTGACTCTTAAATTTTTCTTTCTCTTCAGTTTATTTATTCAAAAGGCGACGTTTGAAGAAATAAATATCTTTAATGTTTCTTTATTTCTTTGTTATTTTCGTGAATGTTTGGCTTTTGAATTATCTAATAAATTCATTAAGCCCCCAATTTTATATATATATATGTGTGTGTGTGTGTACGAGGGGTTATCTAAAAAGTTCGTGGACTAGTGCCATAAAATTAAAACCGCTTTAGGTACATCAATGAATTTTAACACAGTTAGTTAGCGTCATCTTTTCTATCTGTAGAATAAACCATAAATCATTAGTTTTATTTTTTAATAAATTGTTAATGTTTTTGTCAGCAATGGTATGTCCAGTCGGCGCAACCTCGAATATGACATTTTTTTTTCTATCTGAGTTTAACTGAGAAAAACTCTTTTGATACGAGCATTTGTCATCCAAAAAGCCTGTTAATTCAGGAATGTGGTATGGCATGATTGTTCCGTAAAATTTGCAATTTTTACCTAATTCTGTAAGTTCTATAAAATTTTATCGTTCATTTTCTATGGAGTGTCAAAACAATTAAGGACTTGAAAATTACATCGAAAAGGGGGAGGGGTTTCTTTTTCTAACATTCTATAAAGTTTCACCCTTGGAAAGACTGGTATAGACCTAGGAAATGTTTAAACGGACTACAGTGAAATAAAGTGTATCCAGAGTACTTGTTTTTAAATGCAAAAAAGATTCAGAGAGATGAGAGATGTACAGTTACTGTCGATTTGTAGTCAGGGAGTCAAAAGTCAGTCATGTCGAAAAGTGACATTGATCATGAGTAGCAAATATTGAACTCCGACAAGCTAAATATGTTGACATAATCAAGTGAGGAATTTCCCTATGTATAGATCCATTTATAATATTATATGCATCGAAAGCAGCTGTTCATGACATTTTAAAGTCATATAAACAAAACAGGATTAAGTCCTTACTTAACCCCAAAGAATCGCATCGAGATAAGTGTATGAGGTAGAGGAAGCGGGCTTGAGAAACAATGACGTTGTCGGACGTCATGAAACTAAACAGAGACAGCGCCGGGTGATCATATAATGTCTTTTTTATTTGGTAATAATTTGGCAAATAATCAACGTTTCAATCTGAAATTTTCAACATTTCTAACACTTTTGTTATCTTATTGCCTGACGCCACGTGCGTCAGGCAGTATAAGGATTAATATTTCAGGGATCCGAAACTAAGCAATCATTCTTAATGAACTAGATTTTGTGCAAGCTGATTTACATCGGAATTTGTTACCTGCATTTAAACAAATACAGTTTGCAGAAGAAAGAATCATATAACTGATGCAAAATAATAATGTGTTTAATTCCTTCAGTTCTTTTGCATGCACATGTTTATTCTTTGCGATTCTTTGTACGGACATGTCCGTGTAACATTTTTTCTGCGTTTCTAAACTACTGGATCAGTCCATTTGCCTTCTAAGAAAGGGGTGACACAATGATTTCGCGCCAAATGTCACATGAAAATTATCTTCGCGCCTTTTTCTTGGGTTGTTCTATTAAATGGGTGTGATAACTTCTATGGAAATAAATAAAGTTTATTCTTTTAACATGATTCTTAAGCTCCAGATTTTTTATTAACAGTAAATTTTATCTCATTTTATTAGATAACACATTGTACATGGACAGGCAACACTAAAGCAGGGACCTATGTACTAGTTAGTATATAGGTCCCTGACTAAAGCAATGGATTTGATGATTATTCTTACTATTTATCCCATAAGTGGACTTGTCTAATCATAAACAAACTCCCTCCACCTAGTAAATTGGACATCCCTTCTTGATTCAGTCTGTTTTCCACCTAGCCTTTCTTTCAATATTACATTTATTAATAATGTACATTGCAAGGTTAGGTTTTTAAAAAAAGCTTAGAAAGCCAGCGAGTAGCATATTATTTCATGCTTTGTGATGAACAAGGGTTTCCTTTTAATACAGTGACAAGAGTGTAGGTCAGTACCCGTAGAGGAATGGGCTTCACTCCCGTAAGGTTCCAAGTAAAGAATCGGCAAAATGAAGAAGACATCATGATCTGTACTTTTCATTTTTCATTTCATAAAAAAGCACGTTATTATAAAACTGAGAAAGGTCCTGAAATCGATTGAAAAGAAAAACTAAACAATTTCAAAACTTTATATAACTGAAGATGTATTTTAAACTCATTTATAGTACATGTACATATATATGGTAAGACCATCATCGCGTGAGTTTTGTCCAGGGGGGGGGGGGGGGGGGTTAGTATCATTCTTGTTTTGCGCTAGCTATAAAATGTACAGGTCATTTACTTTGATTTCTAGAGCAGCATTGAAGCATTTTTGTCTCAAACACTTCAAGACAACTTTCTGAGTTAAAACTGTTCATAATTTACTTCGTCGTCGAGAACGACGGAAAACAGACCAGTCTATAAATAGAGGCCGTCTCATCAATCTATCACTGACCAGGGAGTGTGCATGAAGAAGTGAGCCCTCTAGTAAGAGAGTACATGTAATATGAATTTCTTTAAAACGAATCATCTAACTATTTTCCCCAGAATTATCAGTGGCGGATCCAGGAATTTCATAACGGGAGGGCGCAGTAGAAGGAAGGGGGTCTGGGGGGGCTGTATTGAAACCCCAGTGGGTCCAGGGCAAAGCCCTAATGGGGGTTCGGGGGCGAAGCCCCCGGAAGCTGACGAATTCTTACTAATAAGGTGTTTTTCCTTGATTTTAGGATGATAAACATATATGTTCTACTTATATGTAGGGGGGGGGGGCGTACGCCCGGCGCACCGGTGCTGGATCCGGGATCCGCCTTTGATTATAATCTACGCTAGTGCACCAACGTAACTAGTCAGCCCGTGGGCTAACTAATAAATGACCAAATAGTGGCATGTCTGAGATATTCGTTAATCTGTAGTATTTGGTTATGAATTTGAGAATCTTGTGTAATGAAGTATCGCAACTATGTCGCTCCTTGATGACGGAAACGATTAGCACCTCTCTTGCATATACGTTCCATAGATATTGATTGATTAGTCAGGCAAGCTTTTTGAAAAGCTATTACTTGTGTTCCTTGTAAATTTTGTAAGAATAGGTTACAATAGTATCAATTTTATCACCTCAGTCAACGAACCTCGTATGTATGTATTTTTTGGCAGTATTTGCAGTATTTGGAATTTATATGCTACATGTAAGTATTTTTTGGAGTGACAAGAAAAACATTTTGATTGGATAGAAAATTGACCAATTGAATGTTGACTTTTTTCTTTATTAACAAATATTTACATTTCCAATGTCTTTGTCCGAGATAAAATTATAATTTGTAAAAAATCTTTATTTCTACATAAATCTACTGGTTCATCGATAGGCGCTGTTAAAAAAAATCACGTGCAGGGCGGGACAAATAGAGAAGCGGGCTATTAGCACGGGAATTTGCAGAATCAGGAGCATGTAAATATAAGGAATAACTGTCAGATTTTTTGGATTCATGACGATGATCAATCGATTAGCTTGCGTGATAATTTTATGCAAATTATCACGCAAGCCACTCGATTGATCACATCATGAATCCAAAAAATTAGACAGTTATTCCTTAAATCAATAACGTCACCAGCAGGTGTATATGATAGACCTTCTGTGGGAACTTTATTTATCTCTTCCAGAGGAGCAGAATGAAGATTGTCCTGATTCTTGCTGTATTGTTCTGTAAGTAATTTCTAAATTTATCTTCATGTGAGTTGCTTCATAATCAAGAGAAATATAAAAAATGCATTAAGTGTTAGATATTTTAATATTGAGAAGCCTACATTCACTATATTTTCAATATTGAGTTTCAGTAATTTTAGAAAATAGTACGTTTACCTTGTTACATTTGCATTATGCAGTGATGTTAAATTTTGAATCATAGTGCAAATTGTTTTAGCATCTGGAAGGCATTTCATTCCAAAAATTCTAACGACGAGTTATAGCAATTATTACCGTCTTCCTTGGAAGACGGTATACAGAGTTGAAGTATTTTACAGTCTTAGGACTATGCACTTCCTCTCTTTTCTGATTGATATTAATTGCATGATGAGAAAATTTTCAATTATTTCATTGGTTGAAATGCTGTTCAAGGCAAGGGAGATAATTTTCTGATGATCTAATTTTCGTATGACTTTACAATTTTTCAAGATTTTCAATCGTAAAAAAATATGACAAAACGAACAGTGGAAATTGGTAGTAATAAATTCGAAATAACATGATAGTTTTTTATAGCAATTAACAAAAAAAGTTTCCATATTTTCATTGTTAACAGAATTTATCTTTATTGCATGCAAGCTTTACAGTTTGTATGTATTCTTTTTCCCTTCGTTTTGCTCAGTCTTTCTAATCTCGGCAGCACTCGGCCGATTCGTACAACTCTACATACAGTTAACTCTTGATGGCTCGAACTTCGTTCTCTCGAAGTTCTTGATCGCTCGAAGTGAGTCTCCGGTCCCGAATTTTCCCCTATATAACTAAGCAAATTTACTCTTGATTTCTCGAACTCTTGATCTCTCGAAACCCTTGATCCCTCGAAGTCAAAATGCAGTCCCGCTATGCATATTCTATTAGAATTTACCCTCGATACCTCGAATTGGCTATGTGTTCACAAGGTTATATAATTAGCACCTTTACCTGGACATTTAAATGGCCCCCGGCAGAAGACGCGGGTCTCGAGGAACAAGATGTTTATTCAGGTGACACTTATGCTACAAGGTGATAATTGATTTATAATTAATCATATTTTGCCTATATCCTATTGAAATAATTATCAGCGACTGTCTTACGACCATTTAGAGACACAATGTCAGTGAAAAGTAGTAATATATTGATTAAAAGACGAAACACAAAGTTGATTTTTATTTCGAGTCAGTGTCAAAGAAATATGAAAAAGCAGAAACAGCCTCAATGTCAATATGACGACTATTATTGGACAAATACTTAAAGAACTGCTTTCAATGATCATGTTTGGAATAGTCAATGCTATGTACGATGCTGTAAAATGTCGTTTTCATGTAACGAATGCGTAATATGATGTCCGTATTACAAAGATTAAATAAATATACATGAAATGACAATATACATTTTCGCTTTACTCAGTTTAATGAAATATTCAACTAAATTACGAAAAAATATCGTTGTTTTATAAAAACCACGTGTAAAAGGTTAGCACTGCATGAAAATCATTACATCCGGCAAGACTAATTTTAAAACCTGTCAACAAATCCGGAAAATTCCGGACTCTTGAAAACTCGAACTCTTGATCTCTCGAAGTTTTTCCTCGGTCCAGCGGACTTCGAGGTATCGAGTTACATGTATCACAAAGGTGAGGGAATCAGCCGAGGTTTGCCAAATGAACCTGGCAGCAGAGTTGAAGTTTACGGAGACAGCCGAGCATCTGTTAACCGGGGCTCATGTCGGAAAAAACTAAATGAAAAAATACAAAGCCAAGAAATTTTCAAGAATTATAGTCTTGTTTAGGTCAGTTTATAGTTTAAGGTTGTTGCTAAAGACGGTAAGCTTTTTGGAAAAGCTCTACTTGTATTACAGCATACATCAGTACCCTATATACTCGTCTTTTAGTAGATCCGCTTATAAGTCGGATGTATAATTTTTCTAGGCTATTTTGGAGAGGTCCGCTAATAACACTCTTATAAATCGTATATCGTTTGCAAGAATCTGTTGATAATTTCAGATCAAAACTAATGTTTTTGACCTGTGTTTCAAATAACATTTTTGAGAATTGACATCGCTATATCTTTGATTCTTGAAAAATCGATTTTATAACAATACCTAAATGTATTTACCTATGTTTAAATTATATTTTATGCTTTTAGAATTAAATTTGATTATTATACACTAAATTTCGCCACTACCTGTTCATGTGTTACGTGATATTTCTTTCATTACTAAATTAAAAAAATATTATGAAATAGAGCTTTTTTGCGAAATACCACATTGCACATGAAATAAGAGTAGATGGAAAATGTGATCTTTATTTTTTTTTCTTTTTAGGTATTTGGGGAACTGGTAAGTTAACATTTCCACTCTTGACAAAATCATTTGTATTGCCATTTATTGATCATAATGTCTGCTTTTGGATTTTTTTATTCGTATGTATTTTGTAAAAAGTCCTAATAAAAACTGCTTAAATATGTAAACAACAGATTGTCAGACACTAATTATATTTAATAATCTAGACTGGTAGCTTTTCAAAATAGTTACTTTGATATATAGTATATTGAGTCATATGAAATTGAAGAATTAGAAAGAAAAATAAATACAAAACAGAAAATTTAAAATTCAACTTGTATATTGTTTTCATTGGTTTTATTTTCCCAAAAGGAAATAATAGTCATTTACACATGTGATTCCTGGAATCCCATTTGATCGAGCGCTATTTAAAGAGAATTCTCAAAGTTTTTTTTATTCCATTTCTGCATATTTTAAAAAAAATAATATGATACCAATAGTTAAATTATGTTTACGACATCTGCTTTATTTCTTTTGATCCCTTTTATATCTAAATGACTACCTACTAAAAACTCTAATAACCAACGAACTTTCCTGAATATGGTAGCTATGTACATATATCTCATTTGATAAAATAAGCAAAATCATGTTTTAAATGTAAGTACAATAAATTATGAAGAAAAAATTGAGAATTTCATTTGTTTTGTTTGTTTGTTGTTTGACGTCCCTCTCGAGAATTTTTCACTCGTATAGAGACGTCACCATATACCGGTGAAGGGCTTCAAATGTAGACCTTTACTCGGCACTCAGGGCCATTGAGCATAGAGGGATCTTTTTTGTGCCAACACCTACTGCGACAAGGGACCTCGGTTTATACGGTTTCATCCGAACGACCGGTCTCCACGTCTCAGTGGATTCGAACCCGCGACGTAAGGATCCGTTCCTTACTCCGGGACTCTAAAGCAGACGCTCTAACCACTGCGCCACGCGGGCGACCGTAATGGTAGGCCTAAATGATTCTAACCAACACTTTAAAACAAAGTTTTGCTCTATGAAAATTGCCAGAGTTCTGTAAAAATCCATTCAATTATTATAAATGCAGACCAAAATATTTTAATGATCATTAAAAAAGTCATTTGTATGGATAAAGAAGTTTTATAGTTTACTTGATATTCTTAGAGACAATTTGTCTTTAGTCTGCGAATCTTTAAAACCATCAAAATTTGTATGATAGAAAAAAAATACATTGCCAATGTCTGAGAGTGAGAAAAATATATATATATATATATATATTTTAATTTTTCTTCTAAATTGTATATGAATGAAAAATAAAGTGAGAGATCGGAATACGAAATAAATAAACATGTAGCACTATACACAAGAAAACATTGATGTTGCCATCAATTGTCGCCCGGGAAATAAATGTAGTAAAATATCATGATTTTGTTTTATTTAGACGTGCCTGTAATTCCTATATTCTTAAATTTAGTTTTGAGACAAGGTACTCACGCCATCATTTTTTTTTTGTTTTCTTTTTGTGAAAATAAAACTTAAGTGAATGGGCTTTTTTCATTCATAGTTTAATCTGTCAACACTCGTTAATCAAGCAAATTGATCTCCCAGATTGTATAATTGATTTCATGGTCCTATATTTATAACTAAGATATTACTATTACTACTTTATACATGTATAAACATACCTTTGACCTTTAGATCTCAAAATCACTCATGAGTTAAGTGTGGAAAATGACCAACCAAATATTTATGCAAGATGTACTAATTATTAGTGAGGACAATTAATGTCACGAGCAAGATCAATCATGAACTCGATTAAGTTTCAAACCAAATTCTTCCGATAACAATGGAAATTAGTCTTGATCATCAAACCGCTTCGATTTGTGTGATAAAGGCATGCGTCTGAATGATCGAGACTATAGTCGAGAAGATATACGGAAAGCTTCTAATCGGATAAAAATCGAACAAAAACGATACCATTTTAAACTTCATCATTTCCTCAAGTAATTGTTGGCTGCATAAAGTATAAATTAGAATCAGACACATGTTTCACCTATCATCAAAAATATATTTGACTTAATGAATATAAAACACAAACTGTTTAAAGTACGTTTTTATGCGATAAGTAAAATAAATTTTCTAGAAAATGGGACCTGTCGTTTTGTCGATAGTTACGAAAGCCTAGAAGGGTCAAATAAGAAAATAAAAAAAAAAATTAAAAAGTCGTAATAACGAGATAAAAAGTCGTTATTACGAGATAAAAAGTCGTATTAACGAGATAAAAAGTCGTTATTACGACTTAAGAAAGTCGTAATAACGAGATAAAAAGTCGTTATTACGACTTAAGAAAGTCGTAATAACGAGATAAAAAGTCGTAATAACGAGATAAAAAGTCGTTATTACGACTTAAGAAAATCGTAATTACGAGATAAAAAATCGTTATTACGACTTAAGAATCTTAAGTCGTAATAACGAGATAAAAAGTCGTAATAACGAGATAAAAAGTCGTAATAACGAGATAAAAAGTCGTTATTACGACTTAAGAAAGTCGTAATAACGAGATAAAAAGTCGTTATTACGACTTTCTTAAATCGTAATTACGACTTTTTATCTCGTTATTACGACTTTCTTAAGTCGTAATTACGACTTTTTATCTCGTTATTATGACTTTCTTAAGTCGTAATAACGACTTTTTATCTCGTTATTACGACTTTTTATCTCGTAATAACGACTTTTTATCTCGTTATTACGACTTTTTAAATTTTTTTTTTATTTTTTACTTGACCCTTCTAGGCTTTCATAGATAGTAAATGATAAGCAACTTTGTAAATTACATATGAAAAACATATATATTTTTAAAAGATGTACTGCATGGAAGTAAATATATTGTGTATCTCGTAATTTATAAAGGGAGAACATTCCGATGTATAAGCTTTTTAATGTATAGTTAACATTTAATTCCGAGTAACTTCTCCACCTCAATCCCATACACCAAAACTTAAACTTACATGTTCAGAGCAGCCCAGTCCTCCATGCTGCAATAAGCAATGCATCCCTATAAATAGTTTATGATAGCTTCTACTTTATTACAGCCCAAGTTGAAGGACGTGGTCTTGGTGGAGCGCGTCATGGTAAGTGGAACTGACAATTTCTCAGTACCTATTTTAAGGAACTTTTAATAATAGATTTCAACAAAGAAAAGTCTGCATATGAGATATTCCAATATGAAACCTTTACCCCCAATAACAATCTCCTTTTGCACACTCTAAGAGGTAGATAGCAATTTGCTTGAGGCATCACGTATGAGTTCACAATCACCAATTTGTACAGCTATTGTTCTTAAATATTGAACGGCATTTTTGTACAATTTGTTAGCCAATTATTTTCAATACAAAATTGTCAAAGGGTTACATCACTTACTCAGTCAAGGAAAAACCTTAAGAAAAATGCAAATTGAATTACTGGAAAAGGTAAACTCACACTACATACTATGTCATAATTTAAGTTTGCTTGACGAATAGGCGTTAACAGGTTCAATAGCACTGTTAACAATAGACCATACGTTATTACAAAATTAGGTGGATGTTGGTAAAGGACATGCTGCCATTTTTGTCGACGACAAATACAGTAGATCAACAAATACTAATAACATTTTTTTGGTATAGATAAGACAAATTTTAAAAATATTATAGTATTTGAAAATTTAAAAATAATAGAAATACATTCTTAAATGAAATTTTGCAGGCATAGGGCCATGCGGAATAACACAAAAATTTCTTGCCAAATAAAAGGTGATTTATATTGATAAATGAAAATTTAAAACGTATGGATTCAATAGTCACGAATTTGGTAACCCCTGATAATAAACAGAACACAAAGGACAAAAATCATTGCTACGTGAGCAAAATATGAGATCTCTACTCTTACAATTGTTAAAATATAAGGTTTTGCAGAGAGAGAGACTAACACACACACATACAAACACACTCTCACACACACACAAACACACCCTCACACACCCACACACACACACACACACACACACAGAGAGAGAGAGAGAGAGAGAGAGAGAGAGAGAGAGAGAGAGAGAGAGAGAGAGAGAGAAAATGAATGAATGAATGAAGAATGAAGCAACGTATATAAGTTTTCATTTACCAGTTTGAGAAAGATCCATATTTTGTTTATTTTAAAGTGATTTATTCTGTTTCGTAATATTAATTTATTTAAAAATTTTTTTTATTGATTTGCATTGCAGTGACTCCAATTCGAATTGCTAGATCTGCGGCAGGTATGTATTCTTCTGGAATGACATTTCCAGTTCTAATTCTCTAATTCTTGTTTCAGGTATGCATGTTTAAAGTCCTTTAATATACATTATAAAAAGACTATGCAAGCGTAAATGCAAGAATGTTTTAGAGATAAATATTTTTTTTTTTTTTTTTGTTTGTTTGTTTTGTTTTGTTTTGTTTTGTTTTCAGCAATATTTTGACAAGATTAAACCAAGATTTTTATTTTTCTTATTTTTTCTATTTGTTGATAAAAAGGTATATTTTTGTGTAAAATCAACATATTGTAAAAATTCAAATTTAAGATATACGAAGCTTTTCTTTCTGCTGAATATGTCCTCTTTTTTACGATGAACCAAATTTCCTAAATCTAACATTAATGAGCTTAGCTATGCTAGATAGAAGTGTTTTTAAAGCAACCTGTACACATAGGTAATCAGAGATTACAGAGCTCACCTCAAGGAATGTTGTCTTTAAATAAGGCAAAGTCCCACACTAAATTAATAATCTGGTATTTTGCATCCATAGATGCAACCTTTATGCAACTTTGGTCTGATATGGCTAGCTGCTTGGGAATGGACTTTTCTAAAAACTTTAAACTAGTCAATAATCCTTAAAATGTAAGTCAAACCAGCATCGGAATCAAGTTTGAGGGTGTTCGTCCATTGATGCATCATCCATGCAAGTTTGGTTCAATAGGCCTTATAGTTACTTGGAAATGAGATCTGCTCCAAAAACTTTAACCTGGTCACTCATGCGAAAATGTAGGTCAGATCCAGCATCCGAAGCAAGTCCAGTAGTGTGCATCCTTGGATGTATCATCCATGCAAGTTTGGTCAACATAGGACTTACATTTACTTAGAAATGAGATCTGCTCCAAAAACTTTAACCTGGTCACTCATCCGAAAATATAGGTCAGATCCAGCATCTGAAGCAAGTCCCGAAGTGTGCATCATTAGTTGTATATGTATCATCCAAGCAAGTTTTCAATATAGGTCTTATAGTTACTTCGAAAGACCTGCTCCAAAAACTTTAACCTGCTCACTCATCTGGAAAATGTAGGTCATATCCAGCATCTGAAGCAAGTCCAATAGTGTGCATCCTTAGATGTATCATCCATGCAAGTTTGGTCAATATAGGGCATATAGTTACTTGGAAATGAGACCTGCTCCAAAAACTTTAACCTGCTCTAAAAACATTAACCTGATCATTCTTTAGCTGAAATTGCAGCATCTGAAACCTTTCCTGATACAATGAAACACACTAGAAGCATCCTCCATGCATCTCTGATGATATAGGGCATAGAAGTACTTGAAAAGAAAACTGCTCCAAAAACTTTAACCTGGGACGCCGACGCCGAGTATTACATAAACTCCCCCAACTTTGTTGAGGTGAGCTAAAAACGATTTCTTAGTCAGGAGGAGGGGGATCTCCTATAAGGTGGGTTATGTATTTTTTTCTGTGTGCAACAGTTTTTCTGTCTGCAACAGTTAGTCGCCCGCGTGGCGCAGTGGTTGGAGCGTCTGCTCTAGAGTCGCGAAGTAAGGAGTTGATACTTACGTCGCGGGTTCGAATCCCACTGTGGGACGTGGAGACCGGTCCTTCGGATGAGACCGTATAAACCGAGGTCCCGTGTCGCAGTAGGTGCTGGCACGAAAAAGACCCCTCACTGCTCAATGACCGTAAGTGCCGAGCATAGGACAGAATTTTCAGCTCTCCACCGGCAAGTGGTGGCGTCTCCATATGAGTGAAAAATTCTCGAGAAGGACGTTAAACAACATACAATCAATCAATCAATCAACATGTCTGCAACAGTTCATTTCTGCATTTTATTGCGTAAATTTTTGTCACATATTATTTTTCCTTATCTTCTCTTACAGGTCCTGTATCAGGGAGTGGTTGTTGTTTTGTATGCTTTCATTGGTGCAATTGTTGTGTGTGACTTTGAACATCAAAAATGCATGCATTTTTATGCACTTGATTGGAATTAAATAAATATTAAAGAAATGATATCATGTTTGCTTTGCTTAATTTTTTTTCCTTATAACGAAAGATTATTTGGTGCAAGAGTTTCGTTTCCCTTTGGTTACTCTAGATAGTAATGGTTAGGTAAAACGCCTACAGTTTTTATTAATATAGATGAAAGCAACAGAAGGAAAAATCTTTAAGCGCAGAATATTATTAAGACATATAATCAAAGATGGAGAAGAAAAGAGACAGAGTGTTTGGAGTGTGGAAAGGGGTCGAGTTACCTGCTAAGTGCATTTGACAAGATCCATCTAGTGAAGCATTTAATAGGTGATGGTTGTTTCATTTTGGGGGAATGATTTTGAGTGAGTTTCCAAAGCCATCAATAAACTTGGTTGTGTACATTTATAATTTTTTTTTAATAAAAAATCATACCAAAAATTCTCCTCAATACTGTCTTTTAAAAATTGAATCAGGATTTAAATGAAAAAAAAATCAATGGAAAGTTCGCCTACCACAATGATATTGACACGTATACACGTATACAAAGTTTTCTTATTGATTAAATCCAACAATAATTAGCTATAGTTAACTATAGTAAAAACTTTGATACTTTGATTTACTATGAATCTTTTCCATCTTTACTCTGGAACATTTTTTTTTTGAAATTTCAAAAGCTTGAAGTCCTTGAATTTGATAACAGGGATGTAAGATTGTGTAATTATACCTGAATATACAAGTAATAGTTCTACTTAATAAAAGACAATGTGCAACTATGAATTTGAAAACGTAATATATAACGAGGGCACCGCAAAATGGAGCATCCCCTTGCAAAGAGAATATTTATTAATCAAGGCAGCATTCGACATCGGTCCCGATGAAAATTGTCACGTCCGTTTCGCACAAGGACAAACTAACACACACACAAACACACACACTCACAAGCGCGTTACTATATCCCCTCCAACATCGTTGCGAGGGGATAACAATTTGAAATCATTATTAAAAATTCTTTAATTTACTACAGTAAAAACATTTTTTTTGGGGGGGGGGGGGAGTTTCCCTTTTTTTACAGGAATATTGAATAACTACAATGCAAGGAACGCATCTGAATATTCCGAATAAATCGTTCATCTTGCATACACCATACGTTCATTATTCACTTCCATCGCTCTGCATTCGTTAAAGGTTCACAGATAACTTTCCGTCCCCTAACCGTTAAAGGAATTGCGTTCAGAATTCACATACTGTTCATTCACCGTTTGCGTTGCGTTCGTTCAACGTTAGCTCACCATTCACAGAAAGTTTGGAGAGGGATAGGGGGATCGTTGTATGTGTTTGTCAAAATAATCAACAATTTTACCTATTCATAAACGCAGTATATAAATTAAAATAGGTGTTTCATATTTTCAAATTTTGATTCATCATGTGTCTGTATTAGCGGACGTTTTCATCAACATTTATCCCTGCCGATGTTATTTTTGATGATTGACGATTTGTAAATTCAATAAAACTATCGGAAATTCCACCGTTTTATCAAATGCTTTTTATTTATATGTACAGTTGTACTTTTTTCTAATTTGAGTTGTTTTTCTTGTCTTCGTTTTCCGTCTTTTTTTATTTATGTACACATATCTACCGCCATAAATTACTTCGACAGCAGGTGAAACTGAATAAATTCCTATTTGTGTGTTTTTTTTTCTTCTCAAAATTAACATTAAAGATATATTGCTTGATAGAACGGATTTGATGAAATGCTATAATCTATTTCCTGTTTACAAAAAGTCCAGCCTCCTCCATCAATAACATCGCCAGCAGGTGTACTTAATAAATTACAATAGTCTCAACAACCAAGCCTCTTTTACGGACACCAATATGAAAACATTTGTAATTCTCGTTTTGTTAATCTGTAAGTTGGTTTCTATATTTGTAGACATTTAATCAATTAAAGAAAATGAATCAAATAAGTATTTATATTAAATAAAAAAGAGTATCGAAAACCAAAACATTTCTTTAACAGACTTATGGTTTTGGTAATCAAGGCAATATTTTTATTATATAATGCATAGGTGAGTATCTTTTTGAAATTTTTTTTTTTTTGTTTCTTTAATTTGTTTGAATGCAAACTCGTAGCTACGTTAAGGATAACTTTGGATTATTTCTTAATGTATCTTTGAAAATTGCTTTATAGCCAATTGGAATCATACAAATTGATTAAAATTAACTTACCAGGTACTCATTACTAAGAAAAAATATATTGGTTATATCTTTCCGATGTTGTTCTAATGAAATGACAGTAATATTTTTTCGATTCTAGGCATTTTCGGAGCTAGTAAGTTAACAATTCAATTATAAATAAAATCAATCATTTATTCTTTTAATCCTGGCAGCAGCATCTGCTTGTAGTTTTAACAACAGTCAACTTAAAAACAAATCTCTAATCCCTCTAAATATTTAAGAAAATGATTTAAAAAAGTGTTCCGTTGATTTACAAAATATTCTGACTCTTTTTTTAAACTAGATTTTCACTATTTTTCACTCTCTATGGGTACATAATACAAAACTTTATCTGCTAGAGCAGTAAGTAATTCTAGATAATTTTGTCGTGTCTGACTAGCCTAACATTTTAGATTGTATCCTATCTGTTCGTGTCTGTTTCCTTTCCTGTAACAAGAGTAATCGATATTGAAAAGAAACTTTTAAAAAATCAGAATGAATGAAGTGATCTGTGATAGGATATCATCAGTAAGTTTTATATTCAAAGAATAAAGAATTGTTCACCGGAAATCTTTGTTTATTATTAGAATTAAAACAATTTATGTAAATCTTTTCTTCATGTTAAATCTTAATTACAATTAAATGAATGAATGAATTAATAAATAAGGAAACTATTCGCTTTCATTTAGAAATTTTAATTCCCCAAGGCAGTCTAGCTTAGGCAATTTTAAAATTTAAAATAATTGATAAATAGATTCTTATGTGAGTATTAATAAAACGAACAGTAATCAAGCTCCATTGAAACAATACAAAATTGAAGTAAAGCAAACATGGACCTCTAAAAACATCAGAGGTGGGATCAGGTGTCATAGAGGAGTGAGCGTTTACTGTCGATCTGTAAGGTCACATCAACCGTGTGCTCCTTGTCATGATCAGGAAAACAGAAAGAACAATTCAGAAAAGACAATTCAGTTAAATTAACTGCCGAACAATGTATGGAAAACGCCAGTGAACATTTAACTTTATGATAAATTGTATTTGCTGACAAGATCATTGTATCGACCATATAATTTACAAAATGTTGAATTTAAAAGAGACTGTTAACATTTTTGTTTCATTAACTTATATGTATTTGTCAAAAGCTTACATTGTCTCGTTTTAGAAATTGTTCGTACGTAGAGCAAGCTCTTGCGTATCAAATCAGCCGGGAGACATAAAGTCCATAGAGAGGTGATAATGTTATATTGCTACATAAATAAGGGAAGTTGACGATAGTATTTTAATATTTCTAGGATCGCATGTTCGCTAGCCAAGGGTTTCTAATCCGCTACACTCCTCACAAACCCTTGGCCTATGCACTCCTACTAATGTTATCGTGATTGAAATTCAAGGCACGTGGTGTAGGTTGACCAACTCAAAGGTTATAGGGTAGAGACCCGTTTTTATAAATAAAATTGGCAGTAAACAGAAAATTGCTATAATCTGTTTCTTTTAAAAAGTTTCTGAAAGATTTTCAACAGAAATGGGTGGGATTTAAAATATCACAATCTACTTAATTAATCTTCGCTTTTGTGATAACTTACGGCAAAAATTGGAGCTTAGTAGTGTTAATATTTCCAAAATCGCCCAATATCTGGTAGAAAAAAATGTATATGACAAACCTTTGTTTACCTTATATGGCTTTTGTTATTAATACGCACAGAGGATCTTACCACCAAAAATTGACCAATCGTTGCATGAATAGCAAGGTTAACTTGACACCTATATGTTTACATTTTACTTCGAACACGTGGTTCAACTCAATCTACGATCGATATTGAATGGATTGCAAAAAACAATGAAAAAACTGCTTATATGAAAAAATACAAAGGGTAGAAACTATGAAAAATGCCACGGACGCTTGTAATTTGTTGTTACGTTGTTAACTAGAAAATGCATATTAAAAATGTAGTCTGTACCACGTTCAGAACACTAGCGCTTCAAGGTTAAGGAAAACGAGCAGCATTCCTTACAGTTAAATGGACATCAAAGTTGTTTTTTTCATATTACAATACCCGTGATCATCTGTGCTTTTAGGTCAGGGAACCCTCCTGACAATTGTATTCACCGATAGTACAACAAAGGTATGCAGACGAAAATCGCCTTACAGTATGACTTTACTAAACCTAGAATTCCACGTTTATTTAACATGTTACTAATGAATTGTTTGTAATTGTGAGCATGGAAATAATAGAATAAAAATGGACGCATGAAAATGCATGAAAAATGTTCTACGTGCCTTTCCGATCGCCTTGTTTTTATTTTTCATGCGTAAAATTCCTAAAGTATCCGTAGTAACGCACAATGCAATTCAACTCATTCAGATTAAGCTATATTGGTATCCCATTTGCTAATCTTACGCCAAATAATTTAGTCCCAGTTTCCATGCAAGCATGTATGTCCAAAAAGAAATTATAATACATAAGTGCAGAGAATAATGTCATGATGAATACTTATTGACGTTTGAGTGAATTCAAGAGAGATTGAAGTACATTCCTATAGATATTATTCAGTGGTGGAAAATGAAACGCATGATAACTTTTCTGTTTACCATGTCTCCACGTGCTAGTCACTTCCTAGCCACATTTCGGTGAATAATTAACCTTATCTCGTTGTAGTCTCGCTAGATCTCGCCAGAGCTACTGTGAGAGAGAGCTACTGGGAACTCCTCGGATTTTATAATTTGCAGAACACCGAAAAACAAAATGTTCCGAACACATTAGTAGGGGTGCTATGGTGCTGATTAAAGTCGGGTTTGTTTACGTCACGTGGTCTCGAATCTTACC